AAAAATCCACTTATCCTAAACTATCCCTTCACAAAAGAATTGGGGATTTGGCATTTCTCCTGGTGCAGCTCTTGGCGGGAATGATCCATAGAGTTGTTCTACTAAGTAGTGAAACTAATGATCCCCGTGAACGGTCGGTTTAACACGGTTTAGGACAAGAGCTATTGTTTGTGTTAAACATTGTTTCGAGTGTACCCCACAGAGATAGCTCAGTGGCATCGGTCAGTTTGACGTCAGGGTAACTCTGGTTCCAACACCCCGAATAGCGCGATCTAAATTCGTCCAACGCACGTCTTCTATATCCGGAGCTTTATTCATATTACAAACGAGCCATTTATCTCAGAAGGACACAATCATTCAGTGAATTCCTCATTTTCCATTAACAGCAATTTCCATTTAATGCTAAAGGCATTCCAATAATTTCTCTTCCAGATCATCTACAGTCTATTCTATCCTCTTGCTCTCTGAATTTTTGTAAACTTGAGGAATGCAGTCTCAATCCTAAACTAATTATAGATACGACGCCTGAGCTGGACATTTCGACCTAGTCGCTCTCTCCCCTCTTTATCTCGTACTCTTACACAAGTTGAAAATTCCAAAGTTATAAGTGAAATCCAAAAATAGTTCACGCCGAGATGCTGGAGATGATCATTACCGAAAATTCACTCCAGGTGTTAACCAGGATTTATTTAACAGTTGAATTTTCTGGGGCTAGATTTCAAAATGTCATGTACATCAATTTTTTTTTTTCACATAATCATCTACTCACCCTCTGACGCAATTCCCTCTCAGACTCCAAGTCTTCCTGAAGAAGACGGATTTTGTCCTGAAATATTGAGAACGAAAAAAACGTAAGAGGACAAATTCAACGTGAAAATTTCACTGCAAGACAATTTACGTAATGAGTAATTAAAAATATCCGGTACAACGGGTGATTGAGTCATCGAATGGACTCGGTGGAGAGTTGAATGGTGATAAAAATGGTGAATTAAAAGGGCCACATGACATTTTACTCTCCTCGAATAATCCACTGGTCAAAAAGAATCGATACTATTTCGAGTTGAACTACAGACGGCAATTCTATATGCGACATCAGGTTGCACTTTTTCAAGTTCCTAAAACGATTTGGCACTAACATCCTTCCAATGGTGCACTGAACTTTGGCGTCTTCACTAATTCTGAATCACTTTTTGTTATTTCACTACTCCAAGGCCCCATAATCCACCACAATTTATCTCCAATCAATCTCAAATAACATTTATATATTGAACAATAATTACCTCGAGTCTGGTGAGTGCACTGAGATCTGCACTGTACTCGATGCTGACATCAGCCGATCCAGCACCTCCAGTGCTACGATAAGTGTACTTTGAAGCCTTCGCAACCGCTGACGACGACATGATTATCTCTTCACCTTCAAATCGTTTCGATATTCAATTAATAATCCCGTTATCAGAAGGGATGTCCACTCCACCTCTGTCGATAGATCTTCTCACTGAAATAAAATTAACCATCAATAAAATCAATTCAACTTAAATTCAAATGATTGAAAATAATTATTCGACAAATTCTCCCGATGCTGCGCCGATTATCATTTTTATTCTCATCTTTACTCTCATCTTTATTCTCATCTTTATTCTCATCTTTATTCTCATTTTTATTCTGATTTGAAGTCCGAGGAACGACTAACTTGTGTTGAATTTCATCAAATGATTCAAGTATTGAGTAAAAATGAAATTAATATCCACCGTTTTTTGTAATTTGTGGCTCGTCGAACTTCCGTCGTTGGCCAACGAGTCGTGTCTTCCTCAGGGCTTTCGTTGCCGACTCGTAGTGCGCGAAAAGTCGTCGTTCGTATGGCGCGCCGTCCATTCCATACCACTGACAAAATCATCAACTGCGCGTGCGCAGTAGATCATCCATCAGTATCTCATCGTCGGTGGGTTATTGCGCATGCGCCAGTGATTCAGAGGTTGCGGAAGTCAATTTCTGTTACTCCTGTTTTGTCATTTTAACGATAGTTGCATTGTTGCTCGGTGTTGGAGAACAATTTTGCATTTCCAAAAACAACGCGCCAACGCATTCGCCCATTCTGCCAAAATTCCATCACTTTCTTTGCGTTATTTTTAACATTATCCAATAACAATCATCATGTTAATAATATCAAAAATATTAAACCCATTGCAGTAACAAAAATCATTTAATTAATACATCAATCATTTATATAATACAGTAGTTCATTATCCTCATCAAAATTATGAGTAATTATTTATTTATAATTTATTTTCATTTATAAGATTTTATTGATAATAATAAATAAAAAAAAGTGGTTGGACCACTGAATATTAAATTCTTGGAATGGGAAATGGGGAGAGGGGATTTATCATTTGGCATCGATAATTTTGGATGTGCAATTACTGGGGTATTAATTGGGAGGTGTGGGGTTTGTCGGGTGGTGGAGAAATGGGGGAAAAATAATAATCATTCCTGACGTCCAGTTTTCGCCAGATTTTCGAACGTCCTCCCACTTGGCCCCCACTACTGCCGAGTGTCTATAAAAGGTCGCCCTGTTGGTAGAGTGTAAAGATTCTCAACAGCCTAGGTAGAGCTCACTGGGTAATTTGAGATTGTCCCCTCCTAAGCTAGTTCTCTCATATTTTCACCCTCGCAATTGCTGGTTTTCACTTAACAGCCATGATGAAGAGCTTGAGAATTGTTCATTGATTCACATGATACCTCATCCCCTTGGACTGTCAACTCCCGGTTGTGCAATTCTCTAATTATTTCAGGATTTTATCGGGCTGATCGATCTGGAAATTGACAGCACCTGAATCGAGTTCTGATGACTCAATAAAAATACATTTCGTCTGAGAAGAAGATTTAGAGCAACTTCAAGATCTCTGATGGATATCACCCATGACCATTCTTTTCTGCTTGACATGGCTCATTTGACGTCTGGCAAATTCATTGTGTCGTCGGTCAATGCTGGACCTTGAAGATTCTTTAATTCATTCAATTGTAAATATTTAAGCCAGTGAGAATTGTTCATGAGATTTAACAAATTTTTAAGAGAATTCTT